TTTTTATTTAATTTTTATATCATCAATTCAATTGTTGATTCGACTGGTTGGATCATAAAAATTTTAACTTATTGGTATTTTCAATTCAATATCATGTTGGGTTTTTAAAATATTAGGAAGAAAATGAAAGAAAGGTGAGGTAGGGTTTGAGAGGGCGATACAGGTGAGAGAGAGGGGTCAAGAAAGTGAGAGATCAAAGTCTGACTTTTGAGGAACAAAGACCACAATGAGAGAAATGGGAGCTGTGAGAAAGGCGAGAGGGCAATTAAAGTTGTGTTTGTTGATATTTTAATATTTATCGTTTGGTTGAAATGATCAATGGCCCAAAATCATGATCCGTGTGTTTATTTTCAAATGAAATATGTGTGCTTATTTAATTTAAAATTATCATCAAGTCCTTATTATGTAACATATTTCATTAACAATGCCTTATAATCCATTTTGACCAAATCCATGGAAGAACGCGCTTGTCATTGAAAAAAAATTGATTCATGTTTTTTAACCCAAGCTTTCTTGTTTTTAAAAATGTTCTAATATTATGTTAAAGGTATAACTTATGTAATTAGTCTTATATATTTAATATATTTTTATCTAATCAAATCAAAATAAATAGATATTAATGTGCTGATAACAATAACAACAAGATTTTGTAATGGAATAAATATCCATACAAGATCAACATGTATGTCTTGATTTAATTGAAAATAAGCTCCTTAAGTATTATAAATTAATTATACAATTTTTACTATTAATTATTATTTTTAATAAATTATAATTGCAAATGATATCTATAATAATAAATTTAAAATAAAATATACTATATTTTAAATTTTCTACATGTACAGGGTAACAAATTATCATATAATTTTGGGCACATTGTTTTCTAAACTATACATCAAATTTCATAGGTAAAAACTATAAAATAAATCATTTATTTTTTTAATATGTAATATAATAATTTAAAATAGATAAATTTTTTTGAATACTTTTAATAAATTACTTTGAGTACTTTTTTTCATCAATCTATGTAGCTACAATCAATATTCTAGTGTTCACATAAGTATATATTAATTACGTTATTGCCTTCTTTCTAAATAATAAAGATAAAATTGATAATTGAAATAAATTTAAATTACTAAATTGTTAAAAATTAAATTTAAGAGACCAAATTGATAACTAAGACAAACTTAAAATACTAAAAGTTTCACTATCTACAAAATATATCATTTTTAATTCTGAAATCTAGTTTTATAATAAATTCCAAGCATAAGAAATTAGGTTATTTTTTGGGTAATAGTTTTTTCTTTTCAAACTAAACTCCGGCACATTTTTCCCAAACCAATCCTCAGTATGTTTTTTCTCAAATAAAAATATACATAATTTTATTTATGTTATTATATTTTTTGACTGATGTAGTCATTTTTAAAAATTATTATATTATTTTTTAAATTGAGTTGTCTCGTGCCCCTTAATTCTAAGTTTTGGCCTTGCCAGTGGTGCCACTACAATTTAGTATCTAAATAGCATGAAGACTAGTGAGTACTACTTTTTGGAGCTTAACCATAGATTACAAGTAATATAATCTTAATTTTGGTCCGCGGCATATTTTTTAGTTTCTTATGATTTGAACAATTTTCTTATTTAATTTGGTTTTCCCATTGGTATTTGTTAGTATGATAGTTGATATCTGCTTGAAAATTGAAAAAATGGCTGTGTAAGCATAAGTCCTTCTGTTTTTAAAACCATTCTTAACGTCAACTTTTTAATGTGCAGTAATTCGTTTCTTTTTTTTTTTTCCTGCTTTTAACAGTATTTTCATCAATTTGACTGATTCTTTATATGCTAATCAATATAAGACAAGTTACATTAAAGAACCTAATCTCTTCATTACAAACTCGCTCATGACTCTTTCCTCATGAGCCTCAACTTTCAAAGCTACCGCATTGGTTTTTTTTTTTTTTTTTTTGGGTACAAAAAGCGACTGCATTGATTTTTTTCCCCGGTAAAAAACTACGGCGTTGTTATTACTATTCTTTTACTAACTTATCTTTCTTTTTCACCAAAAAAAAAATATCTTTCTTTAAAATGAAACTTGTGCTACTTCTTGTTGGTATATATTCATGGATGTATGTAATTATGGGCTTTCAATAATGCTGTGCAATTATGAGCTTTTAATTTTGTACAATTATGAGGTTTTTAACATTGTATAATTATGATATTCTTCTTTTTTATATAGATCTCAAGGGAGACCTGACTATGATACCACCTATTGAAAATTGAAATTTAAATGTGTATAAAATTAAGAGCTTTTAATAATGTGGAATTACGAGCTTCCAACATCGTTTTGGTTTCTTCCTTTTCAAATATGTTCCAAGCAAGAATTGACTATAATATTACGTGTATAGGACTTGGATTCAAATGTGCATGTAATTAAAAGCTTCCAAAATTGGACAATTATGAGCTTTCAATATTATGCAATTATGAGTTTTTTAAACATTGTGCAATAAGAGGCTTCCAACATCTTTTTTTTTTTCATATAGGTTTCAAGCAAAATCTAATTATGATACTGTTTATGAGGAACTGAAACTTGAACATATGTGTGATTATAAGCTTTTTCCTTTTTATACAAGTCTCGAGCAAAATTTGATTGAAATACTACTTATTTTAAAATTGAGACTCGAATACCTGTGCAATTATGAGTTTTTAACATTGTGCTATTATAAGCTTCTGACATTATTTTTGCTTTCTTCATTTTTAGATAGGTCTCAAGTGAAATCTAATTGTGATACCACTTATTTAGAATTTTGGACACAAATGTATGTGCAATTAAAAGCTTTCAATATTGTACGATTTCTAGTTTTAAACACTTTACAATTATGAGCTTCCAATATTGTCTCTTTTGTACAAGTCCTAAGCAAAACCTAATCACGACACCACTCATTAGAAATTTGGGCTCAAATGTGTGTGCACTTTAGGCTTGCAATATTGTGCAATTATGAGTTTTTCCAACATTATGCAATTGTGGGTTTCCAACATTGTCTTTTTTCATACAAGTCCAAACCGAAACTTGACTTTAATATTATTTATAAGAAATTAGGATACAAACATGTACACAATTACAGCTTCCAACATTATGCAGCTGGGAGTTTTCAATATTGTGTAGTTATGGGCTTTTAATTTTTTTATATAAGTCCCAATTAAAGCCTAACTGTATAAGGAATTAACGTGCAAACATTTATAGTTTTTTAACATTGGGCAATTACGAGCTTCCAACATCATGCAATTATGGTTTTCCACCATTCTGAGTTTCCTCTTTTTTATATAGGTCTCAAGTGAAACCTAAATACAATACCACTTATTTAAGAATTAGGATTCAAATATATGTGCAATCAAGGACTTCAAATATTTTGCAATTAAAAGTTTTTAACATTACAATTACAATCTTCCAGAATCATCTTTTTCATAGAAGTACCAAGCGAACCCTAAATGTGATACCACTTGTTATGAATTAGGGTTCAAACATGTGTGTACTTATGGGGTTCAAACATTATCATTTTTATATAGGTACAAAAAAAAAAAAAACTGACCGTGGTATCACTTTTGAAGAACTTGGACTCAAACTTTGTGCAGTTATGAGCTTCTAGCATTATGAAAATATGAGCTTCCTCTTTTTTCATTTAAGTTCCAGTTGAAACTTGATTATGATACCCATTTGTAAGGGATCAAGACTCTAACGGGTGTTTCATCATGGGCTCCCCACATTGTGCAGTTACGTTTGCAACACTGGAATTACAAGCTTTTAACATTGTGTGATTATAGGTTTTCAACGTTGTGGAATCATGGACTTCCTTGTTTTTTTTTTTTTAAATGTAGATTACAAGGAAAATCTGATTGCGATACTACTCATTTAGAAATCGAGATTCAAACAATGAATTATACGGAATAAGGTTTTCGAGACCTGAAAAGATGATGCGAGCCCACTTGAAAGAGGCGTCCACAGAGTTAAGCAGCGGAAGGCGTGTCTTCATTTAAAATAAAACCAATAATGACCTAAAGATCATATAAAAGTACGTTCCATCGAATAGATTTATATTACTGAAGCCAGGAAGGAATCCTGGAATGCTGCTTCCAGTCGCTATTTATGAGAGATAATAACTATAGATAGAGTAATAAATTTTAAAATATTAAAATATTGAATAAGAATTCTGATGATTCAATGTACCATTTTCTGCAACAACCTCTGTACATCATCTCACAAACAATGCTTTAAAATTTTAAAAATAAAATTAAAAAAAATGCTTGATTTTAATGATGTTTGCAAGAGTATTTGGATTTGGAGAGATCCTACGAAAAGCGACTAGGTCCACCAAACATTGCTTTTAATTTTTTTTTTCCTGATTTATTCTTGATGTAATTCACTGTTCATTAGTACAATGTTTTTAGAGGCATTAAACTAGGGAAAATTTTAATAAAATACTCGTACATATTCATTTGATCATATTTATAAAATAAATCATTTATTTTAACCCTATTTATACAATACCTTAATACATAGCGCGTTCATTTTTTTCATTTTGCCTTCATTAAATACTGAAAAAGTTATTAAATGATACATTTTATTTTTAAAATACATATTTAATAAAAATAACATTAAAAACTTATTAAATTTTTAAACAGAGTTAATAAAATTTTAATTTTTTTTAAAAATTTTAGTGAAATGCTACTTATAAATAGAACCAGTGACGCTTCAAATATTTATTGCGTTTCTTAATACAAACGGTACATGTATTGAACTTATTAAAGCCTTGAAGAACATACCGACAGGGAGAGTAAATCATATTAAAAAGCACTAAAATGAAGGCGATAACGAAGGCGAATGGAAGTGAATTAGTTTGCGTGACTATTTGATAAGAGTGGTCAAAATTGTTGCTTTGAGCTTGGAAGTTGGAACCAATTGCTGGGAGTGCGATTGATCAGGTTAACGACGAAGACCGGGGGGATGATAAAGACAGATTGCAACGGATCTTAACCATAATTGGAATGCAGGTTACATCAAAAAGCAACAATTAACATTTGACCCAATCCTACTTTAGGAGAGACGGAGGAGGAGGATGCAAGAATACACAAATTGCAGAAATGTCATCCATGGCGATGCCCCGTCGCTTACGTTTCCATGCCCTTACCGCACACTCCACCAATATTCTTGCTGACTTCCCTCTGTCTTCTGATGAACCCACTATTTCCACTGCTTCTTCATTCGATATCACATCCCACACCTATCATTTACCAAATTCATCCACCCATCACCACTACTTCAAGACAAGGATACACACATTTATACACATACGCATACAGGAATAGGATAGAGTGATAAAATCTAGAAAAAACAGAACAGTTAAAGCATGCTCGTTTGAGGCGATCAAAATTGCATACCCCGTCTGTTGCCAGCACAACGAATTGGTCTCTGCTAGTGATAGTCCTGTGTGTTACCTCAGGAACCGAAATAAGGCCATAATCCTTCACGCAGTAGTCTCCGAAGGCTCTGGACATGGCCAGTCCCGGCGACTCTCCGTCGGGCAGCCACACTCTGTGAACTCCGGGTTCATCGTCTAAGCAGAACACTCGTCCCTGACACTGAATTATACGCTCTGCCTCCTCTGCAAAACATTACTTCCTTACATACATACATTGAACATTCAGGGCAACAATCATAGAAAGACGAGGAGCAGGGGACACTAACGAGGCAGGTTGGGCTTGAAATCAACAGTCAGCTGTACTGGCACTAATCTTTGATCGTCTGATGTTGTGGCTAGTACAGCCCGAGAGTCACCGACATTTGCGACAACGATTAGTTCACCCTGAACATGGCAGCAGCATTAAAGGCCTGAGATTAAGCAGTGATAGTACTTGAATGAGATAATGCACATTGAGAGCGGCAAGTTTATTACCTGCCGGACAATGGAGAGAGCAGTGGTTCCGCTGTAGAAAGAATCGATCTTGCGAGAGCGCTCTAGCTCGTGATCAATGGCGGCACATGTCTTCAAGTAGGAGTGCTTCCATATATTGAAGGGCTGTTGTTTTTTTTCATCCTCTAAGTCGAAATCAGGATCAAGAGAGGTCTGAGCAAGTGCCTCCTGCCAGTTACACAACAAAGATGGAGCCATGGACTCTCTTACTCTCTTAGCCACGAAGTGACCCCATGGTCCATGGCCGTCAAATACCCCACAGAACATCATGTCCTCTTGACATCCAAATTCCTGCAACCGGCATCAACAATAATGTTTATTCATAGGATTACATTACAGGTCTCGTTGTTTTACGATTCCACAGTGTTCTTTCATTCTCGCCTACCTCCCAAACCATGCAACAATCCTGGTTGACTCCTTTCTGGCCTCTCTTGGAAAAAACTGAGGCGAAATTGTTGGAGCCCTGGACATGGACGGTGCCAGAAGTATGAAGCATCTGGTCATTTTTCTTCGCTTCCTTGGCCATCGCTTCGGCGGCTTCTCTCCCATCGCATTTCCCAGAACTCTTCCCTTTCTTCATTGAGAACGATCTCGCCAACCCGTTGAACATGGACGATAAATGGCCCATCGATCACCTTCTGCAAACTGATACTCTATACGAGGTTCTTCTGAAACAAGCAAATTTATAACCGTTACATGCAGAGCAGCAGAGTACAGGTCATGTGGTCACGAAAAGAATGAGTAGCAGGGAAAGAAATTCGGGAACCGCCCATTGAAATGAGTTTCTTTTCTTCTTTACCCCTTTCTCAATTATTATATTTGTATATACCACACCTCCGTCTGAACCCAAACAAGGGAAAAGCAAGTTGGGTATGGGGGAGTCGTGACCAAACTAAAGACAATTTCTCAGACAGAAAGCTCGGAATCCCAGAATTTAATATCAGAAAAAGCTAAATCCTGAAACAGGTAGAGGAGGATATTCATTCCCTCACACAATTCCAGCGTTGCACCTGGAATTCTTTATTTCATTGCTTTCGGCCTCGGATCACAATTACAGGAACCTCGGCTTGGCCATTCCTGTACTCTACCCTGTTTGTGAAAGCTAAAGAAAAAGACAATAAACCATATCCACCTTATAATGTTCCATTATTTCCACCTATCTGTTCACGAAGCAAACGAGGGGGACCCGTATACTTTCTTCTTCAAGAAAACAAGCAAAAGGATAGAACAAAAGTAGGCTAAAATGGGATCCACGAGGCCAAAAGATAGAATCGTCCTTGTGCTATGCCCGGGTTTGCAAAATCTAGTTAGCTAGAAACATAGAATCCTTCACTGCCTCGCTCTTTTCCGTTGGTTTTTATGGAAACTGAATTGTTCTGCTTAATCAAAGGAAAATAGCAAGATTTTCTGCACTCTGGGATCAGAGAAAACAGAAAATTTTCGGCACAAACCAGCAGATGTTGAAAAATCAGTGTATTAGCAGAAATTTAATGAAAGAATTAGGAGAACGGCTGTGTCACGAAACAAGCAAGGTAAAGAACAAAAGTTGAGGACTCAACTTGTTTACCAACAAAATTGGTTGAAGGCAGCACAAGCCCGCAACAAAACATGAGAAGGATAAAAAGAAAACAGTAGGTTGATAGCCGTAGAGGGTACTATTAGGCTTCCCTAAAAACCGAAGCCTCGGGAGCTGGAATCAAGCAGCAGAATAGAAACGAAGCGAGGCTAAGACCTTGGATTTGGGGGAATCGGAGGGAGGCGGTGGCTAGAGAGGCAGAACCGGAGAGAGTGGCCGGAAAAAGAAAGGAAGAGGAAGAGGGAAGCTAAGAGTTCGAGAATGGGAAGGAGAAGAGGAATGACGGTCCATGAGGGGTCTATTTGTTTGGTAGCGATGGGTGGTTCAGTCTCTATATTAACAGGAGGGGGAGATGACCACAATGACGCTGCCTCATTTCATCTCTCTTTACGTACTGTATGGGACTCGCTCTATTTGTGACGCTAGCTTTTTGTAACTAAAATCGCATCTGCATCTGATTAAAATAATTCACAAAGCACCTTTCAATCTCAGCTCTCACACCAATCCGGTTAATTCCAGAACATATTAAAAATCAAACGTCTTTGTTTTCCTGGTCACATCGATGTTAGGTCGGTAATATATATATCAGCCAAAAATAATTTTGTTTAACTAAGTTGAGCAAGTATGGATTTAAGTTATAATTTATAATTTACAAGGTCTTAGATCAAATATCATGATCTTGTTAGTGTTGATATGTAACAGTAAGTCTCTCTATAAGTATGTCTCTGGCAATATATTGAGAAACTTAATCTGGGTCCACCGAACTTACTTAAATTTTCTTTTATTTAAAATAATAATTTTGTTGACGCAAATTTGGGTTCTTAGAATAATTTGGCCAACATGTCAGAGAAAATAACCTGTCTGCCCAATCTATTTCTAAATACTTGGAGGGTTGAAATATGCTTTTGCTATTCTAACTTCACACAAAATTTTATTTTAATTTTTTTAATTTTATAAAGTGTATTTTGAATCTTTTAATCTTAATACCATTGGTTTTATCATAAAAAAATTTTACATTAAACTTTTAAATGTCAAATAAATATTTTTAAATGTTAACTTATTAAATTTAATTATTTTAAAAGATCAATGATTGATAAAAGAATAATTATTTAAAACCAACTGAATTAGTGATGAATGATTAAAAATGTACTTTTTAAACTTAAAAAAATGAAATTAAAACTCATATAAAATTGGAGAATTATAAGTGTCTTTAACCACGCTTGGAACGCGGTTTTTTCCCCGCTGAGTGTAAATTATTGGATTGACGAGTAAATTCAATTTCTCCCCGGTGCTTGGATTTTGTTTCCTTTTCGTTTCGTTTTTTTTTTTTTTCGGTTTTTGGTTGGTCGGTTTTTGGTTGGTCGGTTTTTTTCTCCCTTGCAAATCGTTCCGTTCCGTTCAGGAGAAGCAATGTGATCTGCCAAAGCCAAACATCAGGAATCTGTATTATTGTGGTTGCTGCGAACAAAACTTGACCAATTTTATTTATTTATCTTTCCCTCTGTTCATATCACACCACATTCGCCGGATTATTGTGTCTCCTAAATAATAGTACATGTTCCGAATATGCTGTAGTTGACAATTAAAAAATATATATATATATATATATTTATAGGCGGAGTTCTGCAAACAAGTTATAGCAGACTTTTCTTAAGCTGATTAATGTTACTCAGTTAATTAATTACAGTAATTTAATTACTCTTTGATCGACTTTAAAATAACTTGCATGGGTTGAATGGTGAGAAATATTTCTTATCCATTTTTAAAAAATACTCTTATAAAATTAGTGTGTGATATTTAAGAAAATGTGATGTTTGAACTTTAAACAACTGAAACAGTTGGGCAGGTTGCATTTTACAAAAAAAGAAAACACACAGCTTATAGAGCCGTTAAAAAGGGTAATAAATATAAAATCATCAACTTTTACGTATAACACCAGCATAATTGAAAGAGGATTAACCCTTTATTCACAATATATATCTTGAGGTAGACTAATCTCAATTATTAATTAGTGATTGCCTCATTTGATGCTTCCTAAAATTTTCAGTTGGTACTGCTTATGGTGGGGTGGCTCCTTCCGTATTTTTAATAGGTCTAATAATATTATTTTAGCATTATCGTTTCGTTAAAAATTCCACCTATATAAAAAGTACACAGAAACGTGGTGTTAGACATTTTAGTTGAGTTTGTGTCAGTTGATTTTAGACGCATATATAAAATATTTTGTCAATCCTTTTATTAAGGGAGGAGTTAGACATTATTCTTTTTAATGGCCCCATCCATATCCGATGATAGCCACACTTTGGACGAATTTTTGGTTTTTACATTTTAAATATTAAAGGTCAGGATTATCGTGCCGACGAATGAATTATTTTTGTGTTGAACCTGGGTTGAGCGAATCAAGACATGGTTTCAGGCAAAAAAAGAAAAAAAAGACATGGTTATATAGTTTTTATATTTTCACTGTATATATATTTTAAATCAAAACGTGACAAATGAGCTTTTTAGATAAATGTATAATTTTTGTGGCTAAATTATATATTTTGTCACGTTATTACTGGAAATTACATATAAATATAAAATTTGTAAAACATAGTTTATAATTAGGGAAAATTTCAGATGGGAACCTTAACCAAACATATTAAAAAGGAGAATTATAAAATTTTTAAAATTTTACTAAAGAATCGGTATGGAATTGACATTAAGTTTGTGATAAAAATAACAAAATTGTTTTCATATAAATGAATAAAAAATCATTAATAAGATGACTTGTTCCTTTCCATACTGTATGTTATTTACTTACTTATGAAATATTGTTAATTACCTTATGTCATTTGTTTATAACTTTAGCTTCATTTAATTTCATTACAAGCGTTAATTTCATGATAAAACAATTTATTCGTTTATATACTGTAAACTGTTTATTTATTTAGAAAATGATATTCGTTTCTTTGTTTCACCTTGTTTATAACCCTTAAAATAAAATCAAGTAAAAATAAAATTGTAAACAAGTGAATTAAAAAGACAAATAATATTTTATAAGTAAACGAATAATATACAATATGGGAATGAATAAATCATCTTGTATGTTATTCATTTAAACGAGGATAATTTTATTATTTTCGTTGCAAATTTAAAAGAAAATCTATATGAGGTCTTGTAGTGAGATTTTTAAAAAATTTGAGATATTTCTTAATTATGTCAGGTCAGAGGTCTCCACATGAAATTTTTCCTTAAAATTATCGTACTTGTATCCCTTAAAATTATCATACTCTTATCAATTAATTGTCGATCCTTCCACAATTTTTTTTTAAACGAACAATCCGAAAACATTTTCTACGAGAGGAAATACACACCACAAATCTTAAAGGGCTGTGCCCTTCGCCAAATAACCATACGACGCGTGTGACGCGGAGTCAAATCGACATCAAGTCTGCTAATTAACTATGGTGAAAATCGACATGTATATGGTGAAAATCAAGTCTGCTAATTAACTATCACAAATCGAACCTTTCTCTCTTTGATTTCTCTTCCAATATCACGATTATGAGCCCTGAAGTAGTGATATTCTAGATCTGGCAGAGTTTTAGACCAAAATTACAAGTAACTTAAACAAAAATACTTGAAATTTTTGAAATGATTATACGTGTAAAACAAAATGACGGAATAAACTAAGAAGCAGTGTTTATGCGAGAGACTAAAATTTGACAGGGGCGAGAACCCCTTCTCCAAAATTTTAACAGTTGCATCGTATATATTTTCTATTTACTGCCTATTTTTTAAAATTTCTATTGTAACATTTTTTTCCTTTTCTTTTTTTAAAAAATTTTCTTTATACAAACCAAACTTGAGGTAGTATTGTGATTGCTTCATTAACTAAAGTTAATATGAGTATTAGAAGCTTTTGTTATTTAAATAAGTGGCTAAATGTATGAACCCTAAACTTTATTCATGTCACAATTTACTTAATAAAGATTTATAGTCAGTATTCATGAAAAGATTTTTTACTCAGTCAAAAGCCTACTCTTTATATATATATATATATATATATGTTTTTTAAAAAAGTATTGTGGTTGTCTCTAAACCGTGTATTAGGTTTTAGGTGAGGAGGAAACAATCAGTAGAAATGGGGAAATGGTGACAATTATATGCCCAAAGGTACCCTTAATCCAGGGGCAGGGGCAACCAAGCATATTTATTTTACATGTGAACGCCCTTGAAATGTAAAACGGTGCGGAGCAATAAGGGGGGAGAGAGAGAGGGAGTGGCCGTGTCATGATATTAGGGGGACCCACACCCACAAGGCCACTCCGGACAACTTTCGGCAAAATGATGACTCCACAGACGCTCGCCTCTCCAATCCAACGTCCCTCACAGATTGTTCTCTTGTCCGCGTCTCAATCCGTGAACCCCTGCTTTACCACAAGCCTGTCCGCTCGATTCATGCACTGTACCCTTTCCTCGCGCTTCCATTTTATCACATGTCTCGTGAATCGTCTTGTCAACAGCGTTAATCATCGTCATATTTCAAATAATAAAGACCATGTCTGACAGTTCTGACCCGATGGTTCGTGGCAAAATAGAGAGCCCGTTCAATTCAACCTCGATGGATCTCCCTATATAAATTTGAAAAATTTTAAGTTCTGATTTAAAAATTTAAAAATTTTTATTTGCTTTGAGTTTATTCAGACTCTGATAAATTTAAGTCTGAAGTTTAAAGAAACTTGATCCAAATATTTAAATTCCATTTTTATATTTTTTAATAAAAAAGTATGTTGTAGTGTTATGTTAATTGAAAAAAATCTTAATTTTTTAAGGCAAAAATTGAAATTAGTTCAAAAAAATTAAATAAAAATTTTAATAATTAAAATATTTAGGCCGGTCCAAATAATCATAGAAGGCCAAGATGTAAACCCCGAGTTGAATAAACACGATGCCTTCCGCTAGTAAAATACACACACTAGTAGAATTTAAATGCCGAAAAAGATAAATTAAGCTGTAAAATTTGTAAACCGCGTGGGGAAAAGAGATTGAAAACCAGAGCAAAGTAGTGCAATCACAAGAGGCGGTGGGAATCTTGTGTGGACCTTCCAAGGCCTGACGGGGAAATAGGCACGGGACCCACTCTTTTAATTTGGGTACGCAGTAGGTGTGGACTCCTGGAGGCCACACACTCATTGGATGTATCCGATTCCAATTCCGAAGCGAATCTTTTGCTAAATCCATTCCGTGCCCTGGTTTCCTTTTACAATCATTAAATCACATATCACTTCATCACTTCGTTATTAACATGCCCCACCCCTCTCTCTACTTACTATTTCCACGAGGACCGGAGGAGTAATGGAAAATTTAATCTGCTCCTCTCTTCCATGCTTTCAAATCATTGTT